GGAGCGGGAGGGGGACCCCGAGCCGGCAGCGGGAGGGGGCGACGCTGCCCCTGCTCGCTGCCAGCCTGGGCAGCCCCCTCGCTTGCACACGGCCGCTCGCGAGACAGGTACGAGTTATTGCGGAAGGCCTGCGCGGTCTGAGTTGCGCCGTAGTGAGACTGGCCGCTGCCAGCTCGCAGAGCGATGCGAAGGGAATTGGCCGTGCCGGTCCCGCCAGCTCTTGTGACATCTCAACTAAATTCCAGGCGTTTCTCGGTAGTTTGTCTTCTCCAGCTCTCTCTGCCTTACGCAGTCCAGCACGTTTGTTGACTTCTGTTGCTTCAGCAGTGGAAGAGTCTCCGCTTTCAAACAAACTCCACGCGCAAAGACAGAGGTACTTATTAACGTGCAAATTAAAATTATTTATGCTGAATATGTCCCTAAACTGTTTTCCACCAGAACGGCAGAAAATTTGGTGGCTTTGCATCACTCAGCCTGGATGGAAGAGAGCTTGTGCTAGACATAATCACAGAAGAGCAGACAAAAACAGGCAGACAAAAAAATGTTAGTAATGTAGGAAAGAAACTGCACAATAATGCATGAAGAAATGATTTGCTTCAAGGTTTCTCCTCTTCTCTGTGCATATATGACAGCAAATTGTGCCTGCTTGCTCCGTTTTGAAGGGCTTTTTCCCTTTTCTCTCAAACTTTCAGCCTCGGGCCTGGAGACTCATTGGGTGGAGATTTGCACGAGCGTGTAAGGGCTTTAAGCATGGATTTTATTTAAATCTTAGATAAGTATGGTTTGATCTTCTGTTCTCCCTTTCCACGCTCCAAAACCGAAGGAAGAAGACGTGACTCCATCTGCTCCCCTTTGAATAAACCTGGTGGAGCCAATACTCCAGATCTTCCTGCTCTCCTGTGAAGGAAGCTGTGCTGGAGGAGGACCAGGACTTGGGGGCTTATCCTTTTTCAGGCCTGGAAATGCATAACCTGCTGTCACCTGCTACGGGGTGACGTTACCTGGTCATGCCTTACGCGGCTGTCCCCTATTCATCTGTCCAAAGCCATTGTAAATGTGTTGACTTTAAAACAAAATCAGCTGCAGCTGGACACCCTTGGCCAAAAGACCGCTTGGCTCGTGTCAGGTAGGCTGGGCATGGCAGCACCATCACCCTGTCTGGTGACCTGAGCAACCCCAGGTAACCTGCTGGGCTGGGGCTGGGGTAATTTCAGCCCATGATAAATTTGTCCCAGAGCCATCAAAGGTTTTTGATGCTGTGCAAGTAAGAAATTAAAGTCAAGCTCAGATGAAGTTCAGCTCTGTGTTCGTCTTTAGCCTGTCCCCCGTGCTCATGTCTCCTCTTCCTTTTTCCTTCCCTTCCCTAACGTTTGTTACAGGGGGTTTTCTTACCTGTTAGGTTGAAAAATGCTGATAACAGGCCAAAACTTTCAGGCTGCTTGCTTTCTTTCCTGGGACTGTTAGAGAATAAATCCAAAATGACAGAGACATAAGGTCCTGAAATGATGAAATGTGAGCTAAGAGAGGGAACGCCACTTAACCAGGCGGAGATGCGCTGTCTTCAGAGGGTCGGAGTCGCAGCAGGGTGCAGCTCAGCCATCCTGCCGTGCAAAGCGGTGCTGCAAGTCTGTGTCTGGGCAGCCCTTGGGACCGCATCTGCGGTGGCCTCATGCTTGTTTTTTTCTTACCTTTTATGGATGAGCTCTGGAAACTTACCCTTGGTGAATTCATTGGGGCATTGCGCCCAGCTGCGCTCCTGCGCTGCCGATGCGATGCTCTCCGGCAGAGTTGACGGAAACGGTCCGTTTGGCTGGTGAAGTGCCTGTGGGGCCCGGCGCGCTCTGCCGGCTGCGCTTCCCGCGCCGCTGGGAAACCTCGCCGCTGCTCCCCACCGCTGTGAGCCGCAGGAGCCCGCGCCGAGGCCCGAGCCATTCTTTACTCCTTTAGGCTTTTGCTGGGTGGCTTTTGGCAGTGGTGCGCTCGTCGTCTCTTGCTTTCCAGGAAAAACCTGTCAGTTTGGCTGATGGGGGCTGATTTAGTGCTCAACAAGTGCCACTTCTGCTAAGCAGTCCAGGAGGCCGCATGTGACACCGGGTGCATCACCCCCAGATGAGCTCAAAGCAAGAGCTGTGCTTAGTCTGAAAGTGCTCTGGGTTCCCCTGGGTATTTTATGCAGATTTTCTCTCCTCTCATTACCGTGTTTATACAATACATACTTAAAAAAACCCAAAAATGTAAGGATCACAAATGAATTTGGAATGAGAGAAAAAAGGTAAGTGGTGAGCATGCGTGATGTTGCTACTTACCCGTGCCACCTCCGGTGCTTGGCATGCTTTTTACTGTCAGATGAGTCATAGCACAGTCGTTATTTCAAAGATGACTTATCTCCCTTTCTGTAATGCTCTTATGTATTAGTGCTAATAATACTTTAACAAGTGGAAATTGTTATTACAGAAGACTTCTGATAACCTAGCTTGTCCTACCTTGCTTCGAAGATGTTATCACAAATGGTGGCGTCAACATTTTATCTTACGTTAGAGAGAATGATTTTGCTTTAAATTCAGACACTTAATAAACTTCCAAAGATGTGCCTGCATCCACTTGGAAACTGGTGCCATTAACATAATAAATCCGTCCAGTGGTTTCTTCGGGACTTTCTTTCCATGAGCTTTTGGTTACTCTGAACAACCGGGAGCAGCGTATCTGGTAGCTGTCCTACGCCCTGTGCATCGCTGTGAGATCGGAGCGGTCAAGCCTGCCACGGGTGGTGGTGACGACAGGCTGGCGACGGGTTCAGTGCGTCTCCTTCCTGTCGTTTGCTGTGACCTGAGAACGCAGCGTTTCCCCCTTTTTTTGATCATGCAAAAAAAAAACCCAACAAATCAGCGAGTTGCGTTGCTCGGTAGGTCGTTGGCGGAGCCCTGGCTTAAACCTCCCCAGGAGCGCCCCGGAGCGCTTTGTCGCTCGGGAGTCGGGGGGAGAACCGGGGCGTGATGTTGCTCGCCCATCTTCGCCTGCTGCCGGGGTGGTTGCTGGGGCGGCGCGGCAGCGGCGGTCCCGTAGCGCCTCGTGCCGCCCTGGGCGGCAATTTGAAGGTGGCGGCAGCAGCGTTTGGCGTATGCCCGTTTGCTTTGCAGGAAACAGGTTATAAGGGGTAGAAAGGAAAATATTTAAACTTGAACTTCGCTAACGTAGGGTAGGAGCCAGCTGTCTGTGTCGGCCCGTCCTGTAGCGTCGCGTGTCTTTGGTGAAGGCTCCTTTTGGTCCCAGATCTGATTGCGTTACAACTCTGCGCAGCAAAGCTGCTGCTTCCTTCACTGCCCAGGATAATGGAAAAACCTTTAATAATTCAGGGGGTGAACTCTGTTCTCAGAGCGGTGGATTTTGCAGCAAAAAGCTCAGAAGCAGGCAGGCTCCGGGGTGGGCCGAGCGGGCGTCCCCGCGCTGACCGTGACCTCCTCTCCCTCCCCGCAGATAGTGATGTACATCGGCCAGGTCTCCAAGGACCTGCTGAAGTGGCCTCGGCCCCTCTCGCCGCCCGTGGTGAAGCTGGAGAGGAGGACGGATGCTGAGTATGGGATGCCGTCTACCCACGCCATGGCAGCCACTGCCATCTCCTTCTCCTTTCTGATCGCAACCATGAACCGGTACAAGGTGAGGGGTTACAGCAAACGAATAAATAAATAAATAAATAAATAAGCGTTTGGCTGCTTCTGCTAAACTGCAGAAAACACTAACAAATCCGAGGCTGTTGCCACTTTGGGAAGAGCTCCCTGTATTTCCCCAGGCATATGCTCTTCCCTCGAGTTATCCATAGCTGGCAGATAGTAGATTCGAAAAGAAATTCAGTGGAAACGTCCCTTCTGTAGCACAAAACCAGCTCAGGGTGACTGGTGGGTTGCGCTACCGCGTCAAGGCCTGGGAGCTCGCTGCGCGACCGCCCGCCGCCCTGCACGGCCGGGCCTTGGAGGAGCCCCAGTGCCGTCGCGGAGGAGCCCGGCGTGAGCTTTTGGGCGCCTGCCTGCTGTCGGGAAACGCCAGTGCCCCCGGAAACCGAAGGAGCTGCGTGTCACCTCGTGCGCTGGGCGAGGCAGGAAAAGCATCCTTGGAAATCTCCTTCCTCAGACTGATAGCACCTAGCACAGTTTGTTTTCCAGACAAGCAGCATCAGTTTCACTGCGCCGTTGCTGTCGGCTGCTTGGGGAGATCTCGTAATTGTTTCTCCCTCACCTTGAGCCTTTTATCTTTCTAAAAGGATTGTCTCCTGGATCTTGCAGACTCCTTTCCCCAGAGTGGTTATTTTTATTTCATTTCATGAATCCTCACGTGTATTTCCTGCATCCTAGCAGTAGTAGGACCGGGTGCTTCTCAATGTCTGAGCAGCCCTGGTTGTCCTCTCCGGGACACCTTGGGTAGCTGCAGCATATGTCCAGGAGCAAAGTGCGACCACCCATTCGGTAAAAGTTACAGGGCTGCATGTAGTGGAGGTGGACTCTGATTTTCCTTTGGAAGAGGATATGGTGGTTTTACATAATTCTGGCTGTAAGAAGTGAGAACCTAGAAACTGAGGTCTCTGAACTTCAGATCTGAAGTAAAATCCATTCTCTGGCCTCTCCTAAAGGCTGTGCTGTCTTTCTAGCCGTGCGCTGTTCAGAAGGTGGCAGTGCCTTGACAGAGCTGCCCGCAGGACCTGCCTAGCGGTACTTTCTCCCTCTTCTCAGTCGATAGCTAGCAGTGGGACGTGTAGCTCTTCACAGGCAGTCTCACACTCGTTGGAAACTGCCGTGAAACAATAAAACCACTGTAAAACAATTAAATGATTTAATTGCTTCTATTAAGAAGGAAAAATCCACCAGTGCATTATGCTGCTGTCTTCCAAAGCTGCCCTAGTAATCAATTACTGACCTGGACCAGCTCCCAGCCTGCCTGCTGGAGAGGGGATAAAGCAGATGTAAATACTCTGAAGGCTTAGAGAAGTGAGGAAAAAATAGCGTTTTATGAATTGGGAATGACATCTGTAGACAGGAGCTGAGCTATG